AGGAATACACTGTTAACAAGAGCACTTCCTAATAGGGTTAGACATACTTTTGACAGATTGACAGGAGATGTTATAGACTGCAGAGGAAGATGATGAAGTTAACAAGCTGAATGTTTACATAGATACCGAAATGAGGATTGTATTTTAGAAATTTGTGCAATTGCTAACATTGAACTGTGTGCTGGATGCACATAAATTGAAGGAATGGGAAAATTTAGCTAATGCTGATCCACAGAGTCAGCATCTTAAGATGTTTATATTTAGAGGCATTTTGTTTAAATAACTAGTTATGGATACTGATGTGCAAGAGAGGTGGAAAGGCTGTTTCCTTAAGCCGGCACTATAAAATTTATCCTCAGTGATGCATCTCATAGTGGGTTTCTATCACTATGTATAGTTACACAGTGCCTTTAGTTCCATCCATTTTCTAATGGAACTGTAGCCTATCCCAGCAAGCAATGGACACAAAGCAGAATATACCCTGGACATGGCGCCAGTCCATCACAGGGCAGACAGACAGACAGACAGACAGACAGACAGACAGACCAGCTTTCCCATATGCCAATTAACCTACAAGTATGTTTTGGACTGTGAGGGGAAATCATATCACCTGGAGAAAACCCATGGAACCCAGAGAGAACATGCAAACTCCACATACACAGGACTGCAAGATAGCAACGCTAACCACTTCGCCACCATTAGAAATGGATGGATAGCTTAGTTATCTTTCTAGTTCAAAGATTTGCATGCATAATTAAATTTTGAAAGCCACTGAGACATCTGGTGCTACTGTTGTATTAGTGAAAAAACATACAAAAAGCATGCTAAGCACTGTGCCATCCTATTCCTTAGTTAATACATTTGATTTTTATAAGCAGTTAACATGATTAATGTAGTTCAGGTGGGTAGCTGCGCCAGCATGCGTAGGCTGCAAAGGAACAAGTAATAGGTTTATTCCATGCTGAAAAAAAGAAGAAAGAGACCACAATGTTTCGGCCGTGGAGCCTTCTTCAGGTGTGAGAGAGACAGGGCAGTAGGCAAAGGTAAAGTAGCGGGAGAACAAAGGTTGGGAGGGAGGAGGAGTGAGAGGCGGGAGCAGGGGACAGAAAGAGAGGCCAATCAAGAGGTGTGAAGTCAGAATGGGTGCAGAGAGGTGTGAAATGAAACTTCCAATGAATGGAGAAAATTTAAAAGAACAGTAGTCTGTCGTTAAGGGAAGGGAGAATGTGTGATCCTAGCTGCAGAATAATTTTGGTTTCGGTGGTCTTTCTGATGTATGAGTTCGGAAAACCGTCTTTGAGAACACAGACGGAGAGTTTAGAGTGATCGTGGCCGTCAGAGGTGAAATGAGAAACAATGGGCTTGGAGAGATCTTTAATCTTCACAGCCCTGACGTGTTCTCTGAAGCGATCTCCGAGTCTCCTTCCTGTTTCTCCAATGTAGATGGCTGGGCATTTACTGCAAGAGATACAGTAAATAAGGTTGCTGGAGGTACAAGATGCTGTCTGAGTGATCCGGAATTGTACAGGAGGTAGCTGTAACAGAGGATACCCCAGCAGTGTGATTGACAGGGCCCTTGCCCGAGCCAAAAACACCCCCCGGACCATCAACCCGATCAGGAACTCCCGCCGTAACAACCGCATTCCTTTGGTGCTTCCTTACCACCCTAACACACTTCCTATCCCCAGGACCATTAACCACAACTTTTCCATCCTACAGGATGATCCCTCCATTGGGGCCCTCTTTTCTGATCGCCCTATCATCTCATATCGCCGACCACCTAATCTGCGTAACCTCCTTGTTCACAGCTCCCTTGACCGCCCTCAACAACCATCCACACCAGGCACCTTTCCTTGCAACAGAGCTCGCTGTATCACTTGCAAGTTCACAGCCACCACCACACTCATTCGAGGCCCCTCAGGACAATTCCGGATCACCCAGACAGCATCTTGTACCTCCAGCAACCTTATTTACTGTATCTCTTGCAGTAAATGCCCAGCCATCTACATTGGAGAAACAGGAAGGAGACTCGGAGACCGCTTCAGAGAACACGTCAGGGCTGTGAAGATTAAAGATCTCTCCAAGCCCATTGTTTCTCATTTCACCTCTGACGGCAACGACCACTCTAATCTCTCCATCTGTGTTCTTAAAGACGGTTTTCCGAACTCATACATCAGAAAGACCATCGAAACTAAAATTATTCTGCAGCTAGGATCACACATTCTCCCTTCCCTTAACGACAGACTACTGTTCTTTTAAATTTTCTCCATTCATTGGAAGTTTCATTTCACACCTCTCTGCACCCATTCTGAATTCACACCTCTTGATTGGCCTCTCTTTCTGTCCCCTGCTCCCGCCTCTCACTCCTCCTCCCTCCCAACCTTTGTTCTCCCGCTACTTTACCTTTGCCTACTGCCCTGTCTCTCTCACACCTGAAGAAGGCTCCACGGCCGAAACGTTGTGTTCTCTTTCTTCTTTTTTTCAGCATGGAATAAACATATTATTTGTTCCTTTGCAACATTATTAATTGTTAGCAAAATATTTTGAATTATATTTAACACATTTTTTTTCTTTATTATAATTACTAATAATTATAAATGTTTACTAATAGTTTAACACCTAACTTTCTTATTTGGATTATTTCTTATTTACTATTAACTGTTATTTCTTATTTAAATTCTTATTTAAACACTGAACTAAGTATGACATAACATTCAGAAATATAATTGAGAATAGTTTTGTGGTGTTTGTATAGATTAACTTTTCTAACATGTATAAAAAATTAAAGATGATTAAAATCTATAATCTTTCCACATGTAATGTCATTAGGAAGCACAATAAGTTACTGCTTTGTCTAACAATGGTATCAAAAATAAATCTAAGTGGTGGGAAAGCTGTGCTTAATGATAATTAAGGGACTTAAAATTCAAAGAAAATTATTTACGTTGTTTAAACACTAAGTTATAAATGCAGATGTAATTGGTGCCATTCGCACTGCCTTATTCATTGTGTATGGCTGAGCTCAGTGCCTTCCACCTCTCTCGGTGCCACCTCCTTCTCTGACAGAGCGCAGTGGGCGGTGCACTATTTTCCCAGCCTCTGATAGGGGGGAAAAAAAGGCCTGCTGATCTGCTTGACACCACAGGAAAAGAAAAGAATGTGTTTTTTTCTGTAAGAGATGTGTTTATAGTTTATGAAATTCAAGTATTTTAAATGTTTATTTAAAATGTAAAAGAATAGTGTACACAAAGATTCTAAGCTGAACACGAGGAAGAAAAATCACCCATTTTTCACTAATAAGTGTTTTTTAGCTATCAAAACCCGTTTTTATAGCTTTTAAAGTCATGCAGTGTTTAAGTTAGGCAGGAACACGTCATTGTATTTTATTTCAATTTATTTTTTAAAATTTAAAAATAAATTGTTTGCCCAGCATACTTTAAGATCATTTGCAGTCTGCAGCAGTCCACTTCTTTCCTGATCTGGTACTAATTCCTGCTCTTCTGACCAGGCCGTCTCTGTAGATTCTGAAGGACATCTCCACCTTGAATGCTTCCACAATTGAAGATAGGGGGAGTTGCAGCTTTCCTGATCTTATGTAGAGCCTCACTGATGTGACGCTTGGAGGGATTCCCTGCCACGTTCGGAGGTGCTTGTTGATCGTTCTCTCCACCCCTTCCACCATTGATTATTAAACTATAAATTAGAAATATAGTGTTCTTTTGTATATGTTCATAGTTTAATATGAAGAAGGACGTTTTTTTCTGTAAGTGAATTTAGCGAGGAGCACAAAGAACTCTCAAAAGCAATCATGTCTTTGTGTCTCTATTAAGCCAGACGGGTAGCTGCATATTGGCCTTCACACAAGCAAATCAGTACTGGGTTGTAAGTGGTGATTAAATTCAAACTGTATGAGTAAAGTCTTTTCATTCAGAGTTTGGCTTCTTTCATAGACTCCTGATAACTGTTCACAGTCCTGGTTGCTCAGAATTTACTTCCCTTGTAGTGCATCAGGCAGTCTCCCAGCACTTCTCCCACAGACAGTGCCTTCTGTCTCAGCTGGAGTCCCTGCCTGTACAGCCTCCTCTCAGGATGCAGCGGTCAGCATCTTCCCTCACATCTGCCTTTCATGTGCTTGTGCTTTAGCTACACCTGATGTACCTCCCAGCCCCACACATCTGCCTTTTGCACTCTGTCTCTCTCTCTCTCTCTCTCTCTCTCCACGAATTTGCCCCTGCCCTCTGTCCTCTCATCTCATCTCTCCCAGACACGTCTCTGTTAGTGAGGAACACACAGCTCTTCCTCACTCTGCTTCACACTCTGTAGGCAGAGGCTCCTGTCAGCTTTCCAAATAAAGGCATATCAAAGGTGCAGCACTTCAGAGAAAGGCACCATTCTCCAGGGATCCAGCCCCTGGTGGCATCATACTACTTAGTTTACATGTTATTGCACTTTCTACATGTGGTTTTTGAAGTTTTTTGCAAGGCAAAACTTGAATGTCTGTATGTATCTTGAATAACAAGAACTTTAGCTGTTGTTACTCCAATTGTGAATAGTAAGCTATGCTAATTTACACATGAACAGAAAAGATATTGCAGTAAATGTACTGTGTTGATCCCGTCCATTTAAAACAGCTTCCTGTTCTGACCTGGTTTCCTTCACACTTACAGAGGGATAAGAGAATCACTAGAGTGCAGTATAGTACTTGCCTCATATTGCAATCTCTAAATCTTATATTGTCTTATTTTTTATTCACCATGCTGCTGACATGGAACATTGCAGTGGAAATACAGTTGATGACTTTGGATGCCATTTCTGTGCTTGATTGACTTTTAAAACCTGCTCATCATCCACTATTTTGAAAGTCTTGTGAATCATTGAAGGGTGGAATAGATCTGGCTATATCTGTCTCAGTATAGATAGATTTTCTTGTACAGAATATTTGCTTTTGATCTCTACTCAAATCACGTTAAAGGTTTTTTTCATGTGTCTTGTGTTTGCAGGTTCAGAGGCCACTGTCGAAAGGACTCCTCCTGAACAGCGGCATAGCGACAAGGAGTTGGGCTCCAATCGGATGCAGGAAACAGAGCTCACTCCTGCAGAAGAGAAAAACAAACTCGGTGAGAAGCACACAGAGAGCAGACAGAGTGTCGAGGATGTGGATTCTGTACAGATGATGAAGCCAGAGCCTGAAAGTGAGAGACATGGGGTCATGTTACCTGGCAACTTTACAGACAAGCTTAATAATCTTGATACTAAGAATGTTGCTGAAAGTTGTATTGAACTGGATTCTATGTCTGTTCATTGTTACAAAGAGGAGGAACTGAATGAACTGGGTGTTATAAATCCTATAAAGCTAGAGAAGGAGCCCCACCTGATTGACACTGCTAAGCAGGACACTGAAGTGAATAATGAAGAGAACACAGCTCAGTTTCAGGGCACAAAGCAAGATCATTTGGAGCATTTGCACAGCGAGAAGCCACAGCAAAGCCAGCCGATCAGACCAGCGCCTTGCTCAGATAGTATGGACAAACTGTCATTACAACACAGACAACAGCAACGTTTTTGTCAATCCAGCACCTCAAAACCCCACCGATGCCCCCCGAAACCTTTCGGCTGCACTCAGTGTGAAAAGAGCTTTAGTACATCGAGCCAGTTAAAAAGTCACCAGCGTCTTCACACAGGAGAGAGACCATTCAGCTGTAGTGAGTGTGGGAAGAGTTTTAAACACTTAAGCACCTTAAAAACCCACCAGCGCCTTCACACAGGAGAGAAACCATTCAGCTGTAGTCAGTGTGGGAAGAGTTTTAGTGACTTGGGCAACCTGAAACAGCATCAGCGTGTTCATACAGGAGAAAGACCTTTCAGTTGTAATCAGTGTGGGAAATCATTTAGTCATTTATGTAACTTAACAAGCCACCAACGCCTTCACACAGGAGAGAAACCATACCTCTGTAGTCAGTGTGGGAAAAGTTTTAGTCGTTTAGGACACTTAAAAACCCACAATCTTGTTCACACAGGAGAGAAACCATTCAGCTGCAGTCAGTGTGGGAAGAGTTTTACACGATCAAGTGACTTAAAAACACACCAGCGCACACACACCGGAGAGAGATACAGTTGCAGTCAGTGCGGGAAGAGTTTTAGTTGGCCAAGTGACTTAAAAATACACCAGCGCATTCATACAGGTGAGAAACCATTCAGCTGCAGTCAGTGTGGGAAGAGATTTAGTACTCCAAAGGACTTAAAAAGACATCAGCGCATTCACACAGGAGAAAGACCATGCATCTGTAGTAACTGTGGGAAGAGTTTTAGTGACTTGGGCAATTTGAAAAAGCACCAGAGCATTCACACTGGTGAGCGACCATTCAGTTGTAGTCAGTGTGGGAAGGGATTTATTAACTCAAGCAGCTTAAAAAGGCACCAACGCCATCACACAGGAGAGAAACCATTCAGCTGTAGTCAGTGTGGGAAAAGTTTTAGTTTGGCAGGTACCTTAAAAACCCACAGTCTCATTCATGCAAAAGAGAAACCATTTAGCTGCGGTCAGTGTGGGAAAAGTTTTACTCGGTCAGGTGATTTAAAAACACACCAGCGCATACATACTGGAGAGAGGTTCAGTTGCAGTCAGTGTGAGAAGAGTTTTAAACACTTAAGCACCTTAAAAACACACCAGCACATTCACACCGGAGAGAAACCATTCAGCTGCAGTCAGTGTGGGAAAAGATTTAGTACGACAAAGGATTTAAAGAGACACCAACGCATCCACACAGGAGAGAGACCGTTTATCTGTAGTCAGTGTGGGAAGTGTTTTGGGGACTTGAGCAACTTGAGAAAGCACCAGCGCATTCACACTGGAGAAAGACCTTCAGTTGTTATCAGTGTGGGAAGAGATATAAAGACACAGGTACCTTAAAAATCCCAACAAAGTCAAGTCGGAGAGGAGTTTTCTGCTGTAATATCTGAGTGAAAGATACCATTATATCTGTCCAGGAGATAAACTATTCAACTTCAATGTAGGGAGAGTTCACAGTAAAAAAAAAGTAGCAGCTTAATTTTTCCTGGTAAAGCATGTATGTTTTCTGTTTCTATTGAGTCGTAAGAATCTGCATTGGTTCAAAACCTGGCTTGTGTCAATATTTGCAATTCTTAGGAGCTTCAAAGCAGGAAGTAGGAAGAGATTTTTGCTGAGCTGTAACGTGTCTGAGACATTGATCAAATTAATTGTCTGGTTTACTTTGGTTAATTAAAGTTCTTTATATATCATTAAGAGTCATCAACAGTCCAAGAAAACAGGATAAAAAGAAAAAAGAATACAGAAGAGAAAAAAGGGTGACAATAGAGAAAATGGATCCTTGTCAGATCAATGTTAAGAAACAGATTCTAGTTAGGTATCTGAACCTCGTAAGGAGAGCCACTTTTTTGTTTTTGGGAATTTCTTATATTTCCTATATAAAGAATCCCTATGTTAAAAAGGGTCTCTTCGTTTGTGGCTGCATTTTTAACAGGGGTAGAATCCCATTCACTTTGTAGCATCTGGATCTATAGGGAAATTTAATTTCACATTATATATAGGTCTCTTGTTGGCCTGTGTCGGTGTTATAGGGTTTTTAAATACTTGGTTGCTGTCTAAGTTTTTCATGTTGGTCAGAATGTAGGTCTATGAGATGCCTTGTTTGTAAATAGAGTAACTGAAGTGTTTTATGTTGAGTTGTTGTGTGTGTGTGTGTGTGTTATTGCCAATATAAATATAAATTTGTCTAACCTAATGTGGATTATTTATTTTGCTTTCACCAACCCTGTGTCAGAGAACAAAGAACTCACGTGCCTCTATTTATATTGATTGCTTGGGTATATTCTTGGAATATCTTTGACAATTTAGGAGTTATGATTATTTTACTTGATTAACTGCTTGGTCTATTTTCCGAAATATTTTTCATTTTTTGAAACTCTATTTGTATGAGTAAATGTCAGAACATGATTCTCTGGTTCAAGCAGTTTTTGTGCAAAGGGTAATTCATTTACAAAGGAATTTTTTTTAACTTTTCAATGACATACCACAAAATGATATGACTATTCTTTTCCAGTTTTTAAAAGATAATGTTTACTAAAGATACTTAATGAAATGAAAAACACTCATCAATAGCTAAGGAATGACATTGATAATTGATTTGCTAATCAGACTAATAGAGCAGTAAATTCAATAAGGTCAGAAAACGTGGATGTTACAGTGAAAGAGGTAAAAGTGTGTGAGCCTAGAGCTAACCCGCTAGGCAGAGCAGAAGCAGGGAAGTGTGAGAAGCTTGTTAAACAGGAATCAACTGTTTTACCTGGGATTAACACTGTAAATACTCAATTCCTGGTCCCTGCTGTTGTTCAAAATTCAGGGGCAGCGAGCGTAGTCCTCAGTAAATCCTCTAGTGCTCCACAGACTACAAACAGTGACCTGAGGCCGCCATTCAGAGGTCTACAGCAACATCCCTCTACCACCAAAGGAATGATGATACTTGCGAGTGAATCTTTGCCTTTCTCACCTTAATCCTCCTTCTCCGAAGCGCCTGATATTGACAAGCTACAATAGACAGGAAACCCAACAGGCATCAACAGACGAAAGAAGCAGCCTTCTTAAAGCCAGTAAGCCTAGCTTTGTTTGCGTCAGTTGCCTGAGCTGCGGAGTCCCAGTGCCAACAGGTTAGACAAGAGATATGGACTCAGAAGAAGAATGTGAGTGGTCTGTGTCTTTGCCAGACTGCACACTCTATGACACCCTGGCTACACCAGAGGACAGGGTGAGCTGCAAAGCTCCAAAAGAGTTGCAACAGCAGTGAAATCTGCAGTTTGAAGATTCTGTGACAGAGAAGATAGAGAATCTATATTGCAAAATGCTGGTAATGTGCCTCCACAATAACTTGCATCTGCCTGCAGCACTGATAACCTGTCTGTCCCACTTTGTAACAGCAGTGACAGAGCTTCCTGGCCCCTCAGAACCAATAAAATAGTATCCCAGGTTCCACCTTTTCCATCTGCATCAGTGACACGGACAGCATGGAGGGTCTTTCAGCTTCTCCATGCATCAACTGGCAGGTAACAACTTCAGGACCCTGCCCTCACAGCAGCAGAAAAGCTGATGGGAGACTGAATCTGTTTGCTCTAGATGACATTGGCCTCACTGACATTTCTTTGAACCCCAGCAGTAAGATTCAACAGCAGTAATCTGGACTAATCTTCGTGTTCATGTTGCAGTACAGACGGGACGCAGTGGACACAGTGAAGAAGGCTGGGCCTGCTGTCGTGCTGGACAGACCAAAACCAGCTGCGATAATTTGGCCTTTCCTTAGACACAGATAAGGGAGCCTAGTTGAAGATGAACAACCAATGGCCAATACCCCAGGAAGAGAGAAACTGGACTGAGTAACAGGTTCTATTTTTGCTCCATGGCAATTGTATTGCTTTTCAAATGTGAGTAATTTTGTACTTTTGTAATATTTTTTCGTTTTTATGTAATGTCCTTGCATGTCGGTTTTTTCATCCTAGTGTGCTGCACTACAGCAGTGTCTTAAAAATGTTTTGTTTCATTTTAACTGTAAAACTTATTTGTTTTTGCAATGTATTTGTGGCATCGTTTTCTCATTGAAATAGGAACTGCTATCCCAATTTCTCAGATTTTGGTTATTAAATCTCAGTAACAAGATAAACTCATTGACGTTAAAGAACTTTTTTACAAATTTCAAATAAAGCACAGAATTGTGAACTTAGTAAAAGTACTGTAAGTCACTGTGTTGGTTCAAACTCACATTCAAGTTCCCACAAGTTGACGTGATGTAAACGCTGATTGTTGCTAACCCTGAAATACCATTGCAATTCCCCTTTAAATGTTCATTTTTATCTTATTGTTATTGAATTTGAATTTGGGTTGAGTACATTTGATACATATCAAAGGTTTTTTTTTTCCTTTGCTACTAGATTTTCATTTTAAATTCAGGCATTCACATACAGCAGCCTGTAATCTTAAATTAGTTCCACGAATTTGAAATTTCTGTGTGCCGAATCTACCTGCATATATATATTTTTGTATTTTGTAATGCTTGTGTGTAAATTTTAAGTCTCAGGTATGTTGGTTTTAGTGCAGCTTTTCAAATGTGAGTACACAGCAGCAACTTTCAGGTTACTCAGTGTGTTGAACAAGGACCCAGGTTTACAGAGGTATCGTTTATCCAGTCAGTGGAGACAGATATTCCCAGCATTGTGTAGGAGGTATAAGGTAACTTGACTGTTTTCCTTTTGGCTAGAGATTCACCTAGGATCACCTTCTTCACTGTTTTATTTCTTGGTCACTTCAAAGAACATGAATTTGAATTAATGGAAAAGGAAGACATTTTCTCTTTTAATATTAATATTTATATAAAAATATTAATTTAAAAACATATTAAGATAATATTAAGAACAACAACTGCACCTTTGTTGCAGATTAAAGGTTCGTTAATTTAAGAATTTTAATTTAAGTTTAAGAGTGAATTCTACTGGTTCTTACTGAGGAGCTTTTTCACAATTAGTGATGGATAGCTCTATTTGTCTTTATTGAGTTAAATAGGTTGTGATCTGGTGAAAAGTTTTGATCTGTTGGTGTTTGGGAGGCACCAGATTTCTGAGCAATGAACATCTGCAGGATTATTGAACTTTCACAAGCAGATGTTGAAATCTGTGTATATTCCATAAATAAGGATGAGTTCCACTGTCCAGGACAGTTATTCGGGGGGGGGGAGGATCACTTGGGGAACCTCTATGCAAAGTTTTGTATTTTTATGTGAGGAAAACTAGACATAAAATGACATGTTGGAAACTGTGATTGTTCTAACATTGACAATTGGACAGCCTCTTGATAAACCTGTAAGAAAAAACACTAATTAAATAAGTCTGTAGTGACTCAAATATATTTCAAAGAATGCAGAGATCTTACATTTCCTTAACCCCTTTAATGACCTCTTTTGAGAATGTGGTCATTAAAAATCCCAGGGCATTTCTCGAAAAGAGTAGGGTTGTAACCCCGGCATCCTGGCTAAATTTCCCATTGGCCCTTACCAATCATGGCCTCCTAATAATCCCCATCTATGAATTGGCTTCATTACTCTGCTCTCCTCCCCACCTTATAGCTGATGTGTGGTGAGCGTTCTGGCTCACTATGGCTGCTGTCGCATCATCCAGTTGAATGCTGCACATTGGTGGTGGTGGAGGGGAGTCCCCATTACCTGTAAAGCGCTTTGAGTGGAGTGTCCAGAAAAGTGCTATATAAGTATAAGCAATTATTATTATTATTATTATTATTATTATCCATGTTATCGATGCCGACACCCTGGCCATATCCTATTAAGCATATGTCTTGCACCTTTCATATGCATGTTCTCACTCAAGTTTGCAAGGTCTTAGGGTCCCATTTCTAAATGTGTGTCACAAGGGTGCCCACGAGCACCCCCAATGTGCCCTTATTGCACCCTTCTCTGAGGGCTGCATTGAAGCGGACTCCGCTGAAGAGAATTGCCCCCAGTTCCCTGCAGAATGGTGATGTTTGTTCCATCCTATCAAAATGGAGAGTAGTTGCCATTTAAAACTCAGGCTACTCTTTGTATTCTAGATATGAAGCTTTCACATAAGGCTTTTATTTCAACTTTATTTTTTTATTTCAACACATGGAATATTTAATCGTATAATAGTACAAAGCTTTGTGCTATTGCCACATTTACCTTATTTGGTTTACTTTGAATATAACGGGTTATGCTCCTTGCACTGTAATTTTTGTTCTGGGACAGACGAGATGAAATGTAATTAGTAGTACAAAGATTTGAATAAACAGCAGTATTCCAAAGTTTTGAGTTAACTCGCCCGTTTTGAGTCGAGCCTGCTGAACATGAATGAACACAATGTGTCACTACTTTTATGCAGGGACAGATGAGATCACAAGATGTCTTCAAGCTGCAAACCAAGAATGAAAAAATCTTTAAAATAAATATCTACCAAATGCACTTAGCCACTGAAAAGGCAACATCAACAACAAGAAGGGGCTCTGTGGCTAAGGATCTGCGCCTGTGGCTGGAAGGTTGCCAGTTTGTATCCCACAGGCTGCAGAGGAATCCTACTCCATTGGGACCCTTAGCAAGGCCCTTAGCCTTAGCTGCTCCAGGATCTCTGCATAAATGGCTGACCCTGCGGTCTGATTCCCAGCTTCTCTCCCTGTCTCCCTATTTTTATCCCTTTTACAAATATTCTTTGCAGGGATCTTAAGTAAAGAAGTACCTTTGTGATTACAGAGAGGGAGACAAACAACCTTAATTCAAGTCTTAGTTATTCTATATCTCCATAAATTCAGACCTTACAGGTCTAATGTTCTTAACCCATCTGGAACAATATCTAACACATTTTATCTGAAACAAGTGAGAATGTTTACCATTAAATGTACTGTATTTCATTTATAGTCATTCTTGTTTGGTGAATCGGGGAGAAGTGTAAAGCACGACTCCTCCCTCTACTATGCATGTGCGGCACCGATGGTTCTGGGGGAATAGAGATGTTAATTTGTTGAAAGTTGTCCGTGGTGTGTTAAAGGAGGAATCAAAACTCAAATTGAGATTTATACAGTGCCTTCAGAAAGTATTCAGACCCCTCCACTTTTTCCAAACTTTGTTGTGGTAAACTTATTTCAAAATGGATGAATTGATTCTTTTTTACCATCAGTCGACACACAATACCCTCTATAATGACAATGTGAAAACACATAATAGGAATTTTTGCAAATTTA